GCAGGCAACCACAGTGCTGGAGAGACAGCTCAGAGTTCTCAGTGATCCCCAGGCAGCAGGAAGAGAGTGAGACACTGGGCCTGGCTTGAGCATCTGAGACCTCAAAGCCCACCCCCAGTGACACACTTCCTCCAACAAAACCACACCTACTCCAACAAGACCATACTTCCCAATAGTGCCACTCACTGTCTATGGGTCTATGAGAGTCATTTTCATTCAAACCACCACAGTACCTTATACCAGATTTTTAAAACGAATAAAAGCCACAATAAGAAAACTACAATGTAGAATCAGTGGTTAGGTGAGCCTCCTCAGAACTGATGCATAAAAACATGCAGCAGAGATGTGTCATGCATCAAGTCCCAAAAGAATAATCCCAAGGGAGGTGGCATGGCGACTCATCAGTCTCGAGGGTAGCACATTTCTGTCTTGCCTCTCTGTCACAGATCCTCAGCCTTGACCATACATTAATTTCCTCCATCATTCCCTATCATCCAACTGACTGCCACATCGTTGTCATTTGCTTTCTTCTTTCTTTGCTGAGATTCTCTTCCCTGTCCTTATTTCTCTGTCCTCCTTTCATCATTTAAAGCCTTCATACAGGAACACCTCACCACCAATCCAGAGTGTCCTTCTTCAGGGAACAACCAAAGCCTTATACCAGATAATAGCTTCAGGCCTCAACCAAAAAACTCCAGAGGATGTCTCAGCACATCTCACATAGCATGTGCTGAGACATCTAGAGATCCCCACAACTAGAGAAAAGTAAAGCCATGAGTTTATTCCAAACTGGACAAATCTGGGTCTGAACCTAATCAGTTCATCACAGCTGTATCTAGCAATAATGTCCTCAAAAACAGTAAGTGAAGAGTTAAGGTAGTAAAGAGTTACCCTGTAGTTAACAAATTTATTCTATGTAAATTTCTGCTCTTAAACAATTTTAGTTATGACTCAGAGATATCTAATGTACCTGTAAATTAAATTAGCTGCTAATTAGTCCAAAACCCAGAAGGTATAAAGACAGTCATATTTCTCCTGTCTTTCCAGAACATCCATTCTAATTCACCTGCAAACAGTATCCCATCCACTAGGAAATGTCACCTGTACTTCACTCCCAATCCTCACAAATAATGTGACTTCAAGACTCTGGCCAGTTGTGGTGGTACATGTCTTTAAATATCAGTACATGGGAGACAAAAGCAGACCTGATCTACATAGTGAGTTCCAGGCCAACCAGGGCTACAGAAAAAGAAAGAAAGAAAGAAAGAAAGAAAGAAAGAAAGAAAGAAA